AAGGGAACAAAGTGAAGGGAAGGATCCCTAATATTGTTATGCCTAGACTGTTGTGCACTGCAAGAAAGGAGAGAGACTCCAGGCAGTGGTGGCACATGCCTTTCAACCCAGCACTCAGGAGGCAGAGACAGGTAGATCTCTGTGAGTTCGAGGCCAGCCTGGTCTACAAGAGCTAGTTCCAGGACAGGCTCCAAAGCTACAGAGAAACCCTGTATCAAAAAAAAAAAAAAAAGAAAGAAAGAAAGAAAAATAAGAGAGACAATGCTTATGGGTTACGAGTGATTTTAATAAATCACTACTTATGTGGAGTTGCTGATCAATCAGGGCCGAAGGACAAAGATTCGGGAGCCTTGCTTTTCCTGACAGTCCCAAGCAGGGGCAGAAGTGGGATTTATAAGCATAAACATTTGTGGTCAAGTTAACGTTACATTTTTCACCAATCAGGAGTCAGGGATTAGGGGCTTTCTTTGTGTGTTCCATCATGTCAACAGATATCGAATGTAAGTTTTTCAGTCCAACCAATCAGATTCATTTGTTCTTTCGGTTGTTAGGAACAGCCATAATGTTTTGGAGAACTAAGGGTCATAATAGATTATTTCTATTGTTTAAGGATTCAGTAGGTCAGCTATTGGAAAGTTCCCAACTCCCCTAGGGCTTGGAAACTTGAACTTTGTTTCACCCTACAGGTAAAAGGAGTCTGAAGTCAAAGGACAGCACTTAGGACAAGGGGCCTTTTCCTGCTGCCTTCAGTGTCCTACTCTGACCATCCCATGGGCATGTGCACCCACATGCGTGTGAGTATATACTACATACTTAGGAATTCGAGGCCAGTCTTGATTACATGCTGAGTTCAAGGTTTTCCTGGGCTACAGGAGACATCCTTGCCTGTCTTGTGGGTCTACTGATGTGTTCCTGCATCTGTTATTTTCCTACAACTCCTCCCACCTCTCCTCCTCAATTCTCTACCTCTCTCCAGAAGGTATCTAGTGCCCTTGGAATGTTCAAGAAAGCTAAACACCCTGACCAACCCAGGGATGCGTACCATGGCAGATTAGAGAAGCCAATTAGAAGGATGAACTGAAAAACAGATATCAAGTGAGCAAATAAGACAAAAAGACATCGATGGTCATCATAACTGTGAGGACATGCCTATGGGTTGAAGAACACTGACTCTTCCTCCCTGAGAAGTGTACATAGCTCCACACCCTTTTAAGTAATGTGTGTGTGTGTGTGTGTGTGTGTGTGTGTGTGTATCTTGGACTAGGACAGAGTGACCCGATTTATAAAGAGAAGCGGAAGCCGGGCGGTGGTGGCGCACGCCTTTAATCCCAGCACTTGGGAGGCAGAGGCGGGCGGATCTCTGTGAGTTCGAGACCAGCCTGGTCTACAGAGCTAGTTCCAGGACAGGCTCCAAAACCACAGAGAAACGCTGTCTCAAAAAACCAAAAAAAAAAAAAAAAAAAAAAAAAAAAAAAAAAAAAGAAATAAAGAGAAGCGGAAGGTTTAAGTCTGAAGCGGAAGGTTTAAGTCTGATTTCTATTCCTCGCTCACTCCCTTTCTGTAGTGTTGAAGATTTGAACTAGGGACTTTGTATATGGTAGGAAAGTACAGTTACTACTGAACTAAATTCCAGCCCCTTAAGCCCTCTTTTTTCTTTTTTAAATCTATTTGTTTATTTATTGGTTTTCCAGACAGGGTTTCTCTGTGTGGTTCTGACTGTCCTGGAATTCACTGTGCACACCAGTCTGGCCTTGAACTCACAGAGATCCGCCCACCTCTGCCAGAACAGTTCTTTTTTTTTTTTTAAATTTATTTATTTATTAAGGATTTCTGCCTCGTCCCCGCAACCGCTTCCCATTTCCCACCCCCTCCCCCGATCAAGTCCCCCTCCCTCATCTGCTCGAAGAGCAATCAGGGTTCCCTGACCTGTGGGAAGCCCAAGGACTGCCCACCTCTATCCAGGTCTCGTAAGGTGGTAAGGTGAGCATCCAAACTGCCTAGGCTCCCACCAAGCCAGTACGTGCAGTAGGATCAAAAACCCACTGCAATTGTTCTTGAATTCTCAGTATTCCTCATTGTCCGCTATGTTCAGCTAGTCCGGATTTATCCTATGCTTTTTCAGACCTAGGCCAGCTGGCCTTGGTGAGATCCCAATAGAACATCCCCATTGTCTTAGTGTGTGGGTGCACCCCTCATGGTCCTGAGTTCCTTGCTCATGCTCCGTCTCCTTCTGCTCCTGATTTGGACCTTGAGATTTGCCAGAACAGTTCTTTTCCTTCACGACATGGGTCCTAGGAACCAAACTCAGGTACTCAGTCTTTTTTTTTTTTTTAAATATTTATTTATTTATTTATTTATTATGTATACAATATTCTGTCTGTGTATATCCTTGCAGGCCAGGAAAGGGCACCAGATCTCAATACAGATGGTTGTGAGCCACCATGTGGTTGCTGGGAATTGAACTCAGGACCTTTGGAAGAGCAGGCAATGCTCTTAAGCACTAAGCCATCTCTCCAGCCCCCAGGTACTCAGTCTTGGCAGCAAATCTTTTTACTGCTGAGTCATCTCACCTGCACTTCTCTAGCCCAGACTGGTTTCCAAAGCAGCTGAGGATGACCTTGGATTTCTGACTCTCCTTCCTCTAACTCCTGGGTAATGAGATTTAAGGTGAACAGGGTGTGGAGGTGCACGCCTTTAATTCCTAGGACAAAAGTAGGCGAATCTCTGCGAGTTCAAGACCAATGTGATCAACAAAGGGAGTTCTAAGAACAGTCCAGGACTGTTGCCCAGAGAAACCCTGCCTCAAAAAACAAACAAAACACAAACAAGACAACAAAGCCAAACAAACTAAAAGAGAGAGATTACAGTTGTGCACCGCTACCCAGCTCTTGGGATTAAACTCAAGGCTTCAATTCAAAGTTCTGTACCAACTGAGCGAAATCCCCAGCCCAGTGATCTCTTTTGTCTCTTTTTCTTTCTTGTGCTGGAGATTAAATCCAGGCATGCACATGCTCCATTACTGAACTACATCCCCAGGTTAGGCTGATCATTTAAAAAAGTCTGAATGAGCCAGGCATGGTGGCAACTGTCTTTAGTTCAGGTACTCAGGAGGTAGAGGCAGGAGGATTTCTGAGTTTGAGGCCACAGGCCACCTTGGTCTTCAGTGCAAGTTCCAGGACAGCAAGGACTACAAAGAGAAAAAAACTTATCTTGGGGGGGGGAAAAACTGGGCAGTGGTGGTGCACGCCTTTAGTCCCAACACTTGAAAGGCAGAGGCAGGCAGGTCTACAGAGTTAGCTCTAGAACAGGTAGGGCTGTTGCATAGAGACACCCTTCACCACGTGGGTCCTAGGAACAAAACTCAGGTACTCAGTCTAGGCAGCAAATCTTTTTAACCTGCTGAGTCATCTTGAAAAACCAAAAAAAAAAAAAAAAAAAAAAAGAAAGAAAAAGATAAAAAAAGAAAAAGAAAGAAGAAGAAAAAACTGTGGATATATTATAGATCTTCCTAAAAACCTCACTTCTCATCACATTATGGTAAAAGCCAAAGCTGTCTGCATGCAATTCAAGGCACCACGCAATTTGTTCCAGGTCTTTCTGATCTGCCTCCCAGCAGATTATTTAGTTCTAGCCACAGGGGGCCCTTTGTGTTCCTAGCGTATGGCAATTTGTCTAATAATCATTCCATCCCACCAGCACACCATGCCCTAGTCATCCGCGCTTTATTTTTCTAAATATCACCTGTCATTTAGTTTTTTGTCTTTTCCCATGAGAACACAAACTTTGCCACAGCATGGGTGGGGGCTCATGGATTTCTCCCGGTTTCCAGAACAGAATTCCTGTGTGCCACATCGATGCCCAAGTGTAATATTGAGATTTTTCAAATTATATTTATATATTTATTTTAAAAATATATATTTTTCATGCATTTGGGTGTGTGTGTGTACAGAGGCATGCCACGGTGCACACATTGAGGCCAGAGGATAGCCTTTGGAAGTAGCTGCTCTTCTTCCACCACTTGCGTTCAAGGGTTTGAACTCATGTTCTCGGGCTTGGCAGCAAGCACCTTTTCTTGTTGGGCTGTCTCATCCCTGACTCCAATGTAAAGCAACAAAATACTTTCAGAATGAAGCTGCAGTCATAGCATCCGTCAGGAATTTCAACTGTAGGAAATGACGGATGACAGCATCAGACACAGGCTTGACAGATGCAGCAGAATCACAAGCACGTGTTCAAGTGCCCAATTAACTGCATATTCGTGTTACATGGTCACCGGTGCATAAACAGATGGTGACCCAGAGCGGGCCGCTCCTATGACTCCTGCGACTCAGCTAAGGGTGAACCTCAAGGCTTAAGGCTAAGCAGGTGACACCAGCGGCTCAGGCTGTGATTGCCGAGCCACTCCCACGGCCCGCTCCACGCCCTCGGCTGTCTCACGACCAGGGGAACACTCCGCTTGCCAGGCACACTTAGCCTCTGACAGCTTCCGATAAAGGATCTCTTTGGTCGGGGTTATTCCGTTGACTAAATGCGTATCTGTGATACTTGCTCATAAATGTTTATGAATGTTTAAGTATGTAGTCACGAGTCGAGGGACATGAAATTTGTTTAAATCAAATTTTAGGTGCGGAAACGCCTAAGCTAGAACTCTAGGTTGTCACCAGTATGCATCGCTACACAGTGCTTAGAACTGGTTATCCCTCCATACTCAGCTTCTCGCCTTGTCACCAGACCAAACATTAATAATCATATCTTTCCAAAGCTTCACATTTCCCCTACCAGCGCCTTTTTAAGCGTTCTAAGCTATGTGCCAAAACCCGTCCGTCACGCACAATTCCCAGACCCCATTCCAGTCGCTCACAGACTGCTCAGCCACCTACGTCAGCCGCCAATCACAGGAGAGCCCCTAGGGAGTCTCCTTCTAGGCTCCGCCCCTCACGTAAGTTCAAGCCCCTGGTGCATTTACCGGGCGCGCCGGAAGCCCCGCCCCGGGTGGTTGCCAGGCTCCGACGGCCGGAAGTCCCGCCTGCCGAGTAGTCGTCGCTGCCGTCGCCGCCTCCGTTGTTGTTGTGGTCTCTTCTCCGACGTCCGCGGCTCAGAGAGCCGGCCCCGTCGTCTCCCGCCGCCATGAAGTGGATGTTTAAGGAGGATCACTCTCTGGGTAAGCGCGGTCGGCCTGGCCGGGCTCCGGGTCGCGGCCCCTCCCCCACTCGCGCCACCCTGCCGGTCAGCTAGGTCGCCAAGGCCCCGCCAGCCTGGGCGCCTCCCTCGGACCCCTGTAGCCCTCCGCGGATCTTGCTGGAAATCCGTGAGGGGGGCCGCGGCCAGGGACCCGGGGGCGAGGATCGGGGCGTCCGCACACAGGCTGCGGGCGGCGAAGGGCGGACAGGAAGATGGGGTTCCGGGAACTGGGGACGGCAGGCGGACAGGCGCGACAATCAGTCCGGTGTACTTCTCTCGCAGAACACAGATGCGTGGAATCCGCGAAGATCAGAGCAAAGTACCCCGACCGGGTTCCGGTGAGTGTGGACTCCTTGTCCTCGCACCCTTCTGTCACCCTTAAAGTCTTGGAGTGGTGTCGGGCGGGTGCGCTGGGCCATGCAACAGTTGATAAGTTAAGGTCTCAAAGTAGAGCCAGAGATTGGACCGGCTGGGCTGGGGCCGGCCCAAGCCTGGGGCGCAAGAGGCTGGTGCTGTTCAGGGGCATCAGTGCTGAATCTTCCGATCTAGGGCAGCAAGCTGCTTGCAGCCTCTAGGCTCCCTCGCCAATTATGTAAGGAACCATGTTCTAGGACAGGGCAACAGGTCATTTCCACTTTGGGGAATGGTGGGGGACGGAGACTGTCACTTGGTCTTGGATAGGGTACCATAGCCTCAGGGCATTTGTCTTTAACTTTGAGCCATTAACTTGTAGTTTCTTTTCACCATGGTTGTGCCATCCTTGCTTGACCAATAAATCTGAAGTGCCACCTTTGTCTTTAGTCAATAATAAGTATATGCTATATTGCTGCCATAGTTGGGGAGATGGTTTCTGATGTCATTATTGATTTTTGAAGTACATAAAGTCTTATTGTTGTAGCTCTTTGCTTGTAAACAGTTCCTTTGAGGAAAGAATTAGGAGGGCAGATGTTAGCCTGTTTAAAGAGAAGCAACAGACCTGAAGAAAACCTTGGCTCCTGGGTGGCTGGGTATGTAGAGCATTGCCATTAGTTTGTCCATTCTTCTTTCCACTGTTGCTTGGGATCTTAATTCTCTAGGAGTGTGGATCTGTTCAGGGATCCCGGCTTAAAGAGACTACAGGTGAAACTCTGGCCAGATACTATTTCATCTGCCTAGATAAAATGTTAGAAAGTTAGATGGTGGAGGTGGTGTGTGCACCTTTAATCCTAGTGCTCGGGGGGCAGAGACAGGAGTATCTCTTTGTTGGTCAGTTAGAAAGTTTTGTAGCTGTGTTTCTCTTATAGATGCTGAGATCAGAGATGAGAGATGCAACTGACCCTTTAAAGATAATATTTTTTTTTTTTGGTTTGGTTTTTCAAGACAGGGTTTCCCTGTGGCTTTGGAGCCTGTCCTGGAACTAGCTCTGTAGACCAGGCTGGTCTCGAACTCACAGAGATCCGCCTGCCTCTGCCTCCCAAGTGCTGGGATTAAAGGCGTGAGCCACCATCGCCCGGCCCTAAAGATAATATTTTGATCAGTTCTGGACCTCCCAGAGTGTGGCTTCCTAAGACACAGGTGCATCGACTTGCGCTGTGCATTTTCCCACACTGTGTTCATCATACTGTAAGGGCAGAGCCGTATGTTAGGTAGTTCGGTCCTGTGCTTATGTGCACTTCTGTGCCTTTTCCCACCCCCTCCTTCTCCTCTCATCTGTTTACAGCGCTGGGAATCAAGTCAGGCCTATGTGCATGGCAGGCATGCGCTCCTCTTTTGCTGAAGTACAACCTCCCCTGCTGACATCTCTTCACTTTTCTAGGTGATCGTGGAAAAAGTCTCAGGCTCTCAGATTGTTGACATTGACAAAAGGAAGTACTTGGTTCCTTCTGACATCACCGTGGCTCAGTTCATGTGGATCATCAGGAAAAGGATTCAGCTTCCTTCTGAGAAGGCGATCTTCCTGTTTGTGGACAAGACAGTCCCACAGTCCAGGTGAGAGGGCTGTGATGGGACTCTGGCCTAGTAATCCATTTGCTGCTTATAAAACCCAAACCTTGAGAGGTATAAAAGCTTAAGAGTTCTGACTGCAGTTCTTTGTTTTCTTTGAGACAGGTTTCTGTGTGTAGTCTTGATTGTCCCAGAATTCACTTTCTAGACCACACTGGTTTCAAATTCAGGGAGTTGCCTGTCTCTGCCTCCTTGGGATTAAAAGTGTGTGCCACCACCACTGGCCCCAATTGAAACTCTTAATTTGTGTATCAGTAGCTTCAGGGAAAAAAAAAAACCATAGGGCACAATTATGTATGCACTCTCTTAAAACAGAGAATCTGGAGTTTATGTAATATGTATGGATCTCTGTGTGTGTAAGCCAGAGGTCAGCACTGGGTGTCTTCCTCAATTGTTTCTCCACCCTGTTTATTTACTTTTATAGACTAATGCTTGTTTTTCTTTTTATTCACTTCTTAAAAATTGTGTGTACATATGCATGCAGGTGGCACAGTGCATGTATGGAAGTGAGGACAACTTTGGAGTTGATTCTCCTCTTCTATTATTGGCACTGAGGTTGTAAGGTCCAGCATCTATTGTGAGACAGACTCCCCCTGAACCTGGAACTCAACTGATCTATACTCAGGTCTTCATGCTTACACAGCAAGCACTTTACTGAGTCATCTGCCTAGCCGCCAGGTCTGGACTTGAAAATGCACCTGTTGTAGCCCTCAGAAACTGACTAAGATACCCAGTGTTGGCCCCTGGCCTCTACATATGCACAAACATATCTTTTTTTTTTTTTTTTTTTTTTTTTTGGTTTTTCGAGACAGGGTTTCTCTGTGGCTTTGGAGCCTGTCCTGGAACTCCCTCTGTAGACCAGGCTGGTCTCGAACTCACAGAGATCCGCCTGTCTCTGCCTCCCGAGTGCTGGGATTAAAGGCTTGCGCCACCATCGCCTGGCGCACAAACATATCTTATACCCTAAATAAATTATCCTTGGAAATTCTTTTTTTTTTTTTTTTTTTTTTGAGACAGGGTTTCTCTGTAGCTATGGAGCCTGTCCTGGAACTAGCTCTTGTAGAACAGGCTGGCCTCACGGAGATCCGCCCGCCTCTGCCTCCCGAGTGCTGGGATTAAAGGCGTGCGCCACCACCGCCCGGCATTCCTCAGAAATTCTTTTTTTTTTAAAGGTTTGTTTATTTATTTATTATGTACACAGTGTTCAGTCTCTATGCCTGCAGGCCAGAAGAGGGCACCAGATCTCATTACAGATGGTTGTGAGCCACCATGAAGTTGCTGAGAATTGAACTCAGAACCTCTGGAAGAGCAGTCAATGCTCTTAACCTTTGAGCCATCTCTCCAGCCCTCCTCAGAAATTCTTTTTTTTTTTTAATATTTATTTATTTACTTATTATGTATATAATATTCTGTTTGTGTGTATGCCTGCAGGCCAGAAGAGGGCACCAGACCTCATTTCAGATGGTTGTGAGCCACCATGTGGTTGCTGGGAATTGAACTCAGGACCTTTGGAAGAGCAGTCAGGCCGGGCAGTGGTGGCGCACGCCTTTAATCCCAGCACTTGGGAGGCAGAGGCAGGCGGATCTCTCTGAGTTCGTGACCAGCCTGGTCTACAAGAGCTAGTTCCAGGACAGGCTCCAAAACCACAGAGAAACCCTGTCTCGAAAAACGAAAAAAAAAAAAAAAAAAAAGAGCAGTCAGTGCTCTTAACCACTGAGCTGTCTCTCCAGCCCTCCTCAGAAATTCTTAAAAACAGTTCAGAACTTTCCTGGGCTTGAACCATAAATAAGTAGAACTGAGGCCTGCAGTGAGGTTTTCTGTCTCAGAAAGAAAGAAAAGAAGGTGGAAGGGAGGAAGGAAAGAAGGAGGAAAAGAAAGTTAGTGCCAGAAGAGGCCTAAGCCAAATTTTAGACCCATCAGAGGTGAAAAGCTCTGGCTATTGTTCTCTAGGTCTGATTCCTTCTTTACTTATCTCTACCACCTATTTGTGGTGTCTGGTGAGAGGCAGTAGAGAAGAACACAGGAAGCTTCTCTAAAGCCAGTATTTGCCTGAAGAGATAGATAGGAGAAAGGCCAGTGCCTACCCACTGGGTGCTACTGGTCTGTTAATACCTATAGCTCTGAAGGTCTTATCATTCATGAGACCCTCTTACCTAGCCTTCCTTCACAGGCTTTTGGGTAGTGTGTTGTCAGGTGTGCTCTTTACCAAGGGAGGAAGCCAGACTTCTGTGGGGTCCCTCTTGACTCCCCTTCAGGTAATAGAGGAGCTTTGAGTACAGCACCTTGGTGATTTCTTTTCTCCTGCCTGGAGACGGTGGCTTACTGGGGGGAAGTCAGAGTAGGATCGATGGCACTGGGTTTGTTTTCCTTAGTGCTGATGCTCTGGTACCGTCTGAGTGGTGGTGGTCCAGTTCCTTGTCTTGATGGCATATGCTCCATACTGCTTAGCCACATCTCAGCTCCTTCCCGTTACTACTGTCTGACATTAAGGTTTCTCTGATGGCTTCATAGCATCTAGCCATTACAATAGCTGATAGATCTCATTACCCGTTTCCTCCCTGTTGTCCCTGAAGTATAAATTGAGTTGAAAGTGGAAAGTGGTTCTCATGCATCAGAGGCTGCTTCAGAGCCATTTTCTCTCCAAGTGCTTTCTGAACAGTAAACAAGCTTTCATTTATCCCATTTGCCTTTTCTAGTCTGGTAATACTCTACCCTAAAGCAGATTATATTTGAGCAGAGTTAGGACTTTAGGACTGAGTGAGTGGAAGTCCACACGTCAAACCCTGACTCTTCAGGATAAAGAGAACACCAAGGCCCTTAGTGCTTAAGGTCCAAGTTAATGACTTCTTGCCCTACACTTAACTGCAGGCCAATTTGTATTCATTTGGGAGTTTTATTAAAAATGTAAAAGTGCAGCCGGGCGGTGGTGGCGCACGCCTTTAATCCCAGCACTCGAGAGGCAGAGGCAGGCGGATCTCTGAGTTGAGACCAGCCTGGTTTACAAGAGCTAGTTCCAGGACAGGCTCCAAAACCACAGAGAAACCCTGTCTCGAAAAACAAAAAAAAAAAAAAAAACTGCCTTTGGAGCTGGAGAGATGGCTCAGAGGTTAAGAGCATTGCCTGCTCTTCCAAAGGTCCTGAGTTCAATTCCACATGGTGGCTCACAACCATCTGTAATGAGGTCTGGTGCCCTCTTCTGGCCTGCAGACATACACACAGACAGAATATTGTATACATAATAAACAAACAAACAAACAAACAAATAAATAAAATGTAAAAATATATTTATTGATGGGTGGTGGTGGCATATACAGGTTGATCTCTTGAGTTTAAGGACAGCCTTGTTTACACAGTGAATTCCAGGTTAGCCAGAGAGACTATCCCCTTTTAAACAATAAAAAGGATTTAGAGCTGGCTAGGGGCAGTGGCCAGCCCTTTTATCACAGCACTCTGGGAGGCAGAGGCAGCAGAACTCTGAGGTCACGACCAACCTGGTCTACAGAGTGAGTTCCAGGACAGCCAGGATGGTTGCACAGAGATACCTTCTCTTGAAACAAAACAACAAACAAACAAAACCCCAAAATGTATTTGTTGTCAAGTTTGGGATGATATACAGTCCAGCTGCTGGCAGGAGGAGGCTGCTTGAGGGAATACATACAGTAAGACCCTGTCTCCAACAGAAATCAAAACCAAAACCCAATTTGTTTAAAAACAAGAGGCATGTGACATCATCAGACCCATGCAGATGTAAATACCTACTTACCAGAGCACCAGGGTCTCTTTCCTAAAGCTGGTGCTGACTCAGCTTCACTGTTTCCTCAAAGTCAATTTAGCAGACTCTTTTCAGCTTTTTCCAGACTCCTTACAGAAACCTGGAGCCTCCTTTAACCTTCTTCCGGGGCCTGCAGCTTGCAGAGGGAGTTCCAGCTTTCCCTGTGCTGTGCTGGGTGTGCACAGAGGCAAGCCCCTAAGAGTTTTATTTCCTTCTTTTTTGAGTTTCTCTTTTTAAAAAAAAAAAAAGAAAAAGAAAAGGCGGTGGGATCTGGGTCTTAGCTGCCTTTTTCTTTCCTGGGTTTTTTGTTTGTTTTGCTTGAGACAAGGTCTCTCTGCACAGCTTTTTTTGTACTAGAACTCACTGTGTAGACCAGGCTGACTTTGAATTCAGACATCCACCTGCCTCTGCCTCCACATCAGGCCTCAACTGCCTTTTTCTTGTAGCATTAGAAAGTTGAATTCTCTGCCTATGTGCTTATATCAAGAATCTGGCTCAGCCGGGAAATGGTGGTGCACACCTTTAATCCCAGTACCTGGGAGGAAGTGGTAGGCAGATCTCTGTGAGTTCAAGGCCAGCCTGGTCCACAGAGTGAGTTTCAGGACAGTTGGGGCTGCACAGAGAAACCCTGTCTCAAAAAACAAACAAAAGAATCAGGTTCAACACAGAAGAGGAACTACCCCTTTGCTGTAGACAGAACTAGAAAGACATTGGTATAAAACTTTCCCAGTCATGGTAGTAGAGGGAAACCCAAGTCTGGTAATAGTCTTTGTTCTTTGTTTAGAGCACAGACAAGAATGTTTTTTTTTTTTTTCAAGACAAGGTTTCTTTTTAGCTTTGGGGCCTCTCCTGGAACTAGCTCTTGTAGACCAGGTTGACCTTGAATTCACAGAGATCTGCCTGCCTCTGCCTCCTGAGTGCTGGATTCAAGGCTCTTTTGCCACTACTGCCCAGCTGAGGAGAATATTCTTAGTACCCTGTTTAATACAGAAGCAGAAATCTGGGTGTGGTGCTGTGCATTTTTAACCCCAGCACCTGAGACAGGCAGGCAGATAGCTGAGTTCAAAGCCAGCTTGACCTACATAGTAAATTCCAGGACAGCCAAGGCTACACACTGTGTCAAAAAAAACAAATAAGAATGTTGAATTAATACTTCCAACATGTTGACAGTTTGGCCTGGAGGAACCGGTGCCCTGGAGGTTGGTGGTTGGCT